TGTAAAATGCAAATAAAGAGCGAAAGGGAATATCTGCCAGTTCTCAACTATAGTCGTTTATAAAGTAACACATTATAAGATTTTACAATTGTAGCGAAGGTTGCTATATAGGGAACCGCATTCAAAACTGTATAATAGATCATTGCTTCTTTTTTTCCTTCGTTCTGCGCTAATAAATTACTCTCAAATTAGTTGTCTTTATGTTAAGCAACTTGTCTATCTTGGAATATACACACTGCTATTATTATGTAACAACAATATTCAATCGAGCCACTTTTAACAAGACCTTTACATCTTCGGGATATTGAAAATGTTTAAGTTCAGAATATATATCTCTACTGGATCCAAAGCTGCAACAGCAGCCCTTTGAACTGATTTATATTTTTGTTCTGTAAAAATTAAAAGTGGAAATAAAAGCCTCGTTATTTTGAATAAATATTTTAAGTATTTTTGAATGAAGACTAGTCGCCAGTGGCGTCGTGAGGCAGGTACAGTCATTTTTTAGAGTATATAGCTCATCTTAAATTATAACGGAGAAAATGCTATGAAGAGAAAATTATATTTGAATTTTTAAACGAAAAGTAGCACTCAACAAAATATCGTTTGGTAGCATTCATTCGCACACTACAAAATATATTTGAGTAAGCGAAGGACAGGGAACACGAAATAAAATAATCAGACTTGCTTTTTATTCGACAATATCTCACCATAACATGCCTCTAGCATTGATAACAACTCTCGCTGCACAAGTTTTCATTCAAGCAATGGACATTCTAAAACAAGGAGCTCAGTCTGGAGCCATTGCTGAAATATATGTTAGATCAGATGAAGTATACAAAGGAACAAAAAAAAAAAACACACCGAATGATGCAAAGAAGCACAAATGAGCTCAATACCTTTGAATAAACTCCAAGGCGATGCAAATCTCCTCTGTGTGCGCAATGTTGAAAACGTAGTACGCGCTGAATAGTACAGCCAGTGCGTGGTCGAACATGTGAATTTCGTCCATCACAGTTTTTCCGTCAATTGAGATCGAGTACATGCTGGCTGAGTAGATGCTTTCCCCTAGAAAAGAAAGGATAAAACAAAGGGCGTGAAGGCAGATATAAAATGTAGGAAATTGCAGAACTATAATTGTAGTTTTAAATCATTATAAAATTATAGGCAATATTGATTACTTTGGGTTCGGAAAGTGGTCAGTGAATGCTCACCATGAACTAGAATGCACGGGGAGATGGGTGGTGCATCTTGAATGATGTCAGTTACAGACTGGCCTTACTGACAGGCACCATCACAAAATTCCTCCAAAACAATGGGTAAGTTGAACTCGCTGCGAGGCTCGGTAAATACCTGGCCCATAGATTTGTTTTCTAGGGGGTAATGTAGTGCATCTTTAACGGGGACATGCGGAGCAAACCGGTCCTTTTGGCCACAACTACGTCCTATGTACATACTCACCGTTTCCACACAAGGAAAGTGCTTTCTCAAATATGCAGAATTCATGTGTTCTGGAAGAAAGGTGGTAGATTTCAGGTTCGTAACATCATTGTATAATGATGTTATGAACTCAACAATGTTATGAACCTCGACTGAACCAAACACGTTTTGAAGGCTTTCAGCAAGTTTGCCGAACATGTATTGTTTGTACAAGAAATGCCGACGTTGAAATTCATAAATGGTTTTTTGAACTGTTGATACCGGCATAAGAAGCTTTCCGTTGAACTTCAGGCACAAAAAAAAACAAAAAAAACAAGGTCGTATTTTACGGCCGTTCTTTTTTCTTCTGCAGACAGAGACATTAGCACGTCGTGGCTATCATCAGGAGATTGCATCACGTTAACAGAACCGTCTTCATTAGAATCCGCAGTAGTCGACTGAGCCAAAGAGTCCTCAACCTGAAGCGGGTCTACAGGCGATGCGCCGTCGCCCAAGAAACCCGTCACTCGTAAATGCGCCCAGTTCAAATGTGCCGTGAACTATGATTTCACACCTTCTGACAGTTGGAGCGCGAACACGAAACCAAAATACCGTCGGTGATGTGGACTTTTAGATGTTTCAGCAAAGCCTCCCTTGTGTGGCACTCTTCTAAGCATGCTGGCAACGTGCACTGAAAGCTTTCCAAACTCCTCGAAGCAAATCCTACTTACCCTTAGGCGTTCAAATGCCTATGTCTTCTCAAAATATGACACCTGAGAGCATCATACGTAACAAACTAGCGACAGCGCCCTTCGTCCACACACGGAAGAATTCGAGAGCTCAAAAAACGTGCTCATCGAATTGCGCAACCATCAAGCGTGCTTGAACAGAAGCTAGAAATTCTGCAAGTAAACATCTTTTAGGGTGTTGTATTTATGCCACCGTTACACTATCCTTGCCAAGCAAGCAGCAGATTGATAAGGAAATATCTGTTTCAAGTATCCAGTTGCCTTCCGCTCCAAATTTTCAGGTGCACAAATATCCGGGAATGCCACGAACGAACGAGGACAAAATGGCGCGGAGACGGGCGGGAAGACGGGAAAATGAACCGAACGTTCGCTTCTTCCACTTCTTCCCGCGTTGTCCTAACCAACGTTGCTTTCTTTTGTCTACGCTTCTAGCTCGTCGCATTGTTGCTCTACTTTTTGCTCTTAGATTTTTTTTTTTTTTTTTTTTTGCAGTTAAGGCAGTTACGTTTTGCGTTGGCGCGGACAACGAAAGGAGGTGAAGGGTCGAGAGGAGGCTCTGGGCTCCCTCGGTTCCCGCAGCTTCCGAAGGTCAAGCGTGGGGACCAATTAGCGATGCGCGTCTTTTCTTTCTGTTTTCTTGCTCCATGAAGTTTTGCGTTTTCCTCTTGCTCTTTTTTGCTCGTTTACGGTGCATTTCAGATAATTCCTCTCCACGGCCTACTCGCCGTTTTTATTAGCGTATAGCGCCGTAAATTTGACGGTTATTTTTTACAGTGTTGTTAGCCACCTGTTTTTTAGGGACGAAGCTCCTTAAGGGGTATCCACACAAAGGAGAACTCCGCGGACGGATGTCGTGACGTCAACAACCCGGGAAACTCCGTCCCCGGCTCCGCCGCGTGCACCTGCGGAGCTTTCGTGCTAACAGTACGAAGCCTCCGCGCCTCCGCCACGGAGGAGAACGGCGCCGCGAGGCTACACCAAGTATTCTAGTACACTGTAGCGAGGCGTCAAAAAGGGATGACGTGTGTCTCACGTGGTGCGCGCTCCGCGGAGGAAAGGGGTGGATTTCTCCTTCGTGTGGATACCCCATTAAGGGGTATCCACACGAAGGAGAACTCCGCGGACGGATGTCGTGACGTCAGCAACCCGGGAAACTCCGTCCCCGGCTCCGCCGCGTGCACTTGCGGAGCTTTCGTGCTGTCGGCACAAACCCTCCGCGCCTCCGCCACGGAGGAGAACGCGCCGCGAGGCGTCAAAAAGGTATGACGTATGTCTCACGTGATGCGCGATCCGCGGAGGAAAGGGGCGGATTTCTCCTTCGTGTGGATACCCCTTTAGGGGGCTAGCCATGTCCGTATGTCCGTCCGCTGTCGAGTGCACGTGCTCCTGCTCGTGAGCTCACGCGCTCACGTGCTCACGAGCACGTGAGCACGTGCTCCCGTGCTCGTGTAGCGCAAAAAAACAAAACAACCGCATCTCCTCGTGGTGAATGATGTTGATTGGGGCGAAGCTCTAGTGGTGCTTGTCTGCGTAGACGATGAGCCGCAGCATGCCGAGCCTTTCGTTCGTTTTCATCCACGTCAGAAAGAAAATGTGTGGTATGCAACGTGGTTATATACGCATTTGAGTATTTGACCGCACCATGACATGAATGAAAACGAACGAAAGGCTCGGCATGCTGCGGCTCAGCGTCTTCGCAGACAAGCACCACCAGAGCTTCGCCCCAATTAACATCATTCACCACGTGGAGATGCAGTTGTTTTTGTTTTCTTATCGGCTCGGACCTAGAAAATTCAATGAACGCCTAGGACAGTGGTTCTCAAATGGGGTTCCGCGGACCCTTTGGGATCCGCGAAGGCATTCTAGGGATCCGCGAGGCTTTGCCTCATCGGTCAAGCCCGGCAATAAACGTTGCCTTTTTTTCAGATTAAGAAGAAATAGTCAGATTTTCGAGCAAGGTCTCTCGCGTGTATGCCAATGAGAGATGTCTACTTTACGCTAGCCCTTAGTTATATTAGAATATTAAATCATTATCATAATTAACCTCTACCTTTTTCTTCCTCCCGTCATGAACCGGGTCCTCCATCATCTGCGTCGATCCACAAGGGGTCCGCGAAACATCAATGGTTGAGGACCACTGGCCTAGGAAATCACATCCATGGCAGTTCTGTAGAATCCTGGGACCAATGAACACGCTGAAGCGCCACTAAAACTTTAATGTTGTTTGCCGCCTATCTACCCTGGTCGGCTCGAAGCAAGAAAAAACAAGTAACGTCAAGGAAATTTCTTTCCTGGCAGTTTCGTGAAATTTCGGTGCCCGATAATTCAGCGAGACGCCAGGCTGGCTGTTCACCGAATTTCCTGGGCGGTCCCGGTCCACTCTACTACGGCCAAGGCCCAACCCCTATATTACTTACTTACTTTATAGCGGTTCTTCTGTCTTAAATATATTCATTTCTTAATTTGTTTTAAGGTGGAAGTGCAACCTTGATTGTAAAGAAGTGAGTGATAAAAATAACTAAACACAATTGTATTGGTATGCATGTGTCAACTGGTTATTCATGTTAAGCGCTCTCCGAGTACGTAATATAGAATTCGGTTTTGTACTACATTCGCAGCCTACTTGACTCTGATTCCGCATATACTTATGATAATAAGATCTAGTGACTGAACCGGCTTTTTAAATCTTGAATTTTCATATTTTAAATAGCGTTGATATGCGTTCGATGCCCCATTTCAGACATAGCAGGATGGGGCTGTTTTCAGCGAAAAAGCTGATTTAAAAAACACTTTAAAACTTTCTAGCAACCCTGTTTCATTTTTTTTTTATTGCAGGGGCCATTTCTGAAGTCACTGAAGAATCTAAGATCTGCCTGGAACTTATATCTAAAATAGGTGATATTGCCTGCAGTCTCATTGGAGAGGGGGTGAGTTTCAGAAAAAAATAAAATATAACAATTTGAGTAGAGTAATATGTTTACCGGAGCACGGCTAGGACATTTCTTATCGAGTGGATAGCACCAAAATATTTTCTAAATGTGAGTCTCGTATTGTATAAAATATTAAACCTGGTCAACTTTCGTGTCAGCAATGGCTACAATTAACTTGTTTTGAATAACTGACAGTTAATGAACCCGGTCGATGTCCAGCGACGAATTATGACTCGAAGTCAGCTTTTTGTTTTTAAATTCTAGCCAGTCTGCAGTTTCTGAACAATGGTTTCTTCGGACGGCTGGTAGTGGCTATTTTTTCAGTATTATCAGCTACTTGGTTTTTTATGAGAAGGTCAACCTTCAATGCCTATTAGTTACAGTACTTTTTTTCATATTTCTTTATCGAGCTTATATCAATTGGCCAGAGATGGCTATCAGTCACCAATGTGAGTTATTTGGTTGTTTACAATGTTGTTCGGCTTCGCATAGATAATTAATAAAATTAGTCACAATTTCGAGATTATTCGCTCATTATGGAAAAGATTGTCTTCCAATGGCTATTACAAGTCAAGAAAGTAGAAGAAACACCTCCCATAAGCATGATGCGCCCGTTCTAAATCCATCCGCAGTCGAAAGAATAGTTCCCTGGAAACGCCCCTTGTTCCGCTTCAGTGGATAGATAAAGGCTACAGAGGGATGCCAACTTGTCTCCAACCCCCTTTTCTATTCATCGAAGAAGGAACCGAGCCCCTGGAAGCATCCTTTCTATCCGTCGGAACGAACCCATCGGGACGCCTCCCTCGGTGGAGCCTACGACTGCAAGAGTACGACGTGACCGTGGTCTACAAGTCAGGCCGAAAACACAGCGACGCCGACTGCCTGTCCAGAGCCCCTGTCGAGTCAGCTACCGAATGTGCCAAAGACGAAGACGACGACGACGACGACGACGACGACGACGACCACTTTCTTGGCGCGGTGAGCATTCACGGCATGGCAGCGCTCCAGTGTGACGATCCTGAGTTGCGTGCACTGATAGACCACTTGGAGGGACGAGGGGGTACGATTCCCCGAGCCTTCTCGCGTGACCTGCCAAGATTCGGCGTCCGGAGAGGTCTCTTCTATAAAGAGAACTTCGGGGATAACAACTCGACGTGGCTCCTAGTCATTCCTGCTAGTCTTCGAGAAGAGATCTTCCAAGCCTGCCACGACGACCCAACATCTGGTCACCTTGGCTACAGTAGGACTCTTGCACGGATCCGAGAAAAATACTACTGGCCCAAGCTCCCGAAGACTGTCCACCTCTACGTCCCTTCGTGCCACGAATGCCAACGACGCAAGAAACCACCGACGAAGCCGGCAGGTCTCCTGCAACCGATCGCGCCCCCGACTGCACCATTCCAGCAGGTTGGAATGGATCTTCTCGGACCTTTCCCACCGTCGACGCAGGGAAACCGGTGGATAATCGTGGCAACTGATTGTCTCACCAGGTACGCCGAGACAAAAGCACTCCCGTCGGGGACCGCCGTGGAAGTAGCCAAGTTCTTCGTGGAGTCTATCGTCCTCCGACACGGCGCTCCCCAAGTCCTGATTACGGACCGAGGATCCTCGTTCATGGCGCAACTGACACAAGAGATACTCCGCCTGAGCCACACCGACCACCGCCGGACCACGGCATACCACCCGCAGATTAACGGGCTGACGGAGCGACTAAACAAGACCATCGTCGACATGATTTCGATGTACAGGTCCCGTCAAAGTAAAACGGAGCGCCGGATCGGCGACCGAACTGCATCGCCGCGCTATCTAGCAGCGCTGGCTGGAACTGATAGGCTACATCTGCGCATGCGAAAATGCCCTCCGCTAGGGCCTCCGTTTTCTTCTTCCCACCCACACGTTATCGGTGGTTCGAGCGGCGCAAAGCTCTTCCTAAAATCGACGCCTGATAGCGCAAGGAGCGGTGCTCATCAACACCACTCGCCCTTCTCTCCCACTTGCCTTTAGTGTTATCTCCCCGTATGAGCCCGAGCCGAGCACCTGCAATGTTTATCGGAACAGCGTTTGGCAGCTCAAGACGCCGATAATGCGAGGATCAAACAAGAAAGACGGAGGACACCGCGAACGGCACGCGCGCATGCGCAGACGGCACCTATCAGTTGCAGCCGGCGCTGCTAGATAGCGCGGCGATGCAGTTCGGTCATCGCTCCGGCGCTCCGTTTTACTTTGACGGGACCTGTACGTGGACGTGGAACACAAGACGTGGGATGAAGTGTTGCCCTACGTCACGTTTGCGTACAACACGGCGATTCAAGAAACTATACTTCGTTTCAGCTTCGGTCCGAGCGCGGACGATGTTATGAGCGGAAGGGCCAATCAAACAGAGTAAAAAGCGCAACGTCATGGCGTGTTCTCTGTGCCTGATAGGACTAGCTGGCGGAGGAGCACGCACAGAGAGACGGCGAATATCGGCTGGTCCTATCAACTGCAAAGAGCACGTCACGACGTTGTGCCTCTTTCGCTGTTTGATTGGCCCTACGGCTCATAACACCGGCCGCACTCGGACCGAAGCTGAAACGAAGTATAGCGGCATTACACCCTTTCAACTGGTGCACGGCAGAAAGGTGACGACGATGCTCGACGCCATGCTGTCCCACGACCCGACGAACGACGGCACTGACGACGCCCAGCTGGTCACCCAGCGAGCAGAAGAAGTACGACAGCTAGCCCGTCTTCGAATGAAGGACCACCAACGTATGGACGCTGGCCGGTACAACCTTCGCCGCCGCGACGTGGAGTTCCAGCCCGGAGACAGGGTATGGGTGTGGACGCCCATTCGCCGCCGCGGCCTCAGCAAGAAACTGTTAAAACACTACTTCGGACCCTAGAAGGTCATCCGCCGCCTTGGGGACTTGAACTACGAGGTGCTCCCCGACGGAACTCGCCCATCAGGACGCCGCCAGCCCCGACCCGAAGTCGTCCACGTAGTTCGACTCAAGCCGTTCTACGCGCGTTAGGATTGTGACACTGCATGTTTGTTTTGTTTCGCCGTAATTGTTTTAGCCATTTCCGTTTTCCTTTCGTTTTGCATCGGGGCGATGCACTTTTAAAAGGGGGATAATGCCGCCCGCAGAGCCGGGAAGGCAACGCTTGGTCAGGGTCTTCTAGAAGATTCCCGGTCATTCTCGCAGCAGACGTAACTTTCCCTCTGCTTTGTTATTCTTGAAAGTGCCAGTTCATCCTCGCCCCGAGCGCGCGACGCTCGAACCTTCTTGGCCGAACTTTCGAGATAGTGACGCACGGTAGATAAGCAGCTGCCCGCGACCTTGTCGAGTCAGTCCCAGTCTCGCTCGCGCTTTCTGTTTCGCCGCCAAGTCGCCGCCTGCTTTTCTGCTCCCTCAATGCTCTTCCGTTACTTATTTTGTTGGCACAAGGTCGCCCATTAAACCTTTATTTTCAGTTCAATTTTCGCCTTCTCGCCGCCTTAATTCGTGACAATATAATCGCGTACGTTTCCAGCGTGGTGATGTTTGGGGAGTTGTCAAAGGGTCCTTCCATGTGTGTGATGGGTGCTGTCTGCCAGGTGCATAGATTGCGCAGGCGAATGATCCAGTGTGGTAACGTGTTGCGTCCGTGTATATTGTTATACATATTTCGTCTCTGCGGTGTTTAGCAGCGTGTGCTTGACGTCGCCCTTCATGGAGGTGTCGCGTCATATTTTTGGGTATGTTGGGAAATGCGATGTTACGGGGGAGGGGAAGGCCTTGGCTGATTGATGTAAGCCAGATAGGGGTGATTCCTTATCTTTGGAGGATGTCGCGTCCCTGCACCGTATGGGAGAGGCGCGCTGTCTGCCTATCTCTGTGCTGTTGTGTCAGTTCGGCAAGGCTGCGAAAGAGGCCCGTGTCTACAAGCCGTTGGTTTGAGGTGTATATAAGGAGTCTGAGGGCCGCTTTGTATAGGGTGTTGACTGCGGATTCAAGTTTTCGGGTTTGTGTTTGCGTGAGGTTGAGGTATGGTGCAGTGTAGAGGAGCTTGCTTTGTACGAGTGCGGTGACGAGTTGCTTCGCCTGTTCTTCTCTGAGTCTGTGTTTTTTGTTGATTATGCGTCTTATTAGGCGCGTGAGATTTCGACAGTCTTTTTGCAACTGTAAAGTGTTTGGGTTAGCATTGTTGTTGTGGTGTATGGTAAATCCAAGTATTGTGCAGGATGTCACCTGCGGTATTAGCTTGCCTGATATGCTAATTTGCACTAGTTCGGTGGCGTTCTTTTGGTACTGCGTTCTATTCATGAGGAGTAATTCCGATTTTGCGGCCGAGAGTTGTGGCCCAGCTACATCTAAGTATGCTACTATGGTATTTACGCCTTCTTGAAGGCTAGTTTCGACTTCTCCCGGAGATCCGGTTTCGCACCAAAGGGTAATATCGTCGGTGTATAATGTGTGGTAGGGTTTGGGATTGTGGACAGCTGCCTGGATAGTGTACGTGGTTATGCAGAGATTAAATAGAGTGGGGGATATAATAGATCCCTGCGGTGTGCCTCGGGTTATGTCAACGGGTGAGGAGAGTGCACCTGAGGCTCTGAAGTGCGCTATCCGCCTTGCCTTGTAGGAAACTGCGTATGTAGTTGTACATGTTGGTGCCGCTGCCGGTGTCGAGAACTGATTCGAGTATGTGATCATGGGTAATGTGATCAAAAGCTTTTCTCACGCCAAGTGCGAGGAGTGCTTGTGTCTGTGCTGTCTTGGGTATTAGAAGTGTATTTTGTAGTGTTAGAAAGAGGTCCTGCGTGGATATGTACTTACGATACCCTGGTGAAGAAGGAACACCAGCGAAGCTGTACTATGGTGGGAATGAAGTAATGGCCGGCCGCAAGTCGGCAAGGCGGAGTGCAAAGACTGGAGAGGTTGTCGCCATCAATGCGCGACGGCGGCAACCAGACAACCGGGAAGCCGATTGTCTGGTTTCCGACGTCAATTATAGCAATACACCCAGCAAAT